GTGGGAGCCTCTCCTGCCTCCCTTGAAGTGCGAGGGAGAGGCAAGCCAAGCAGTAAAGAGCGAGCAGGCGGTGGTTAGGAGGGAGCAGGAGGGCAGTAAAAAGTGAGCAGGTGGGCAGTAAAGAGTGAGCAGGTGGGCAGTAAAGAGTGAGCAGGTGGGCCCTAACTGGTTTGGCTCAGTGGATAGAGCATCAGCCTGCAGACTCAAGGGTCCCGGGTTCGATTCCGGTCAAGGGCATGTACTTTGGTTGCGGGCACATCCCCAGTGGGGGTTGTGCAGGAGGCAGCTGATCGATGTTTCTCTCTCATCGATGTTTCTAACTCTCTATCCCTCTTCCATCCTCTCTGTAAAAAAATCAATAAAATATATTAAAAAAAAAAAAAGAGTGAGCAGGTGGGCAGTAAGGAGCAAGGGGTCCTGGATTGCAATAGAGCACAGGCCGGGCTGAGGGACACACCTCCCACCATACATGAATTTTGTGCACCGGGCCTCTAGTATAAAATAATATTTTGTGGTTATGCTAAAGGAAACATTACCTGGGTGTATATGTTAAAAGTATAAACACAAGGGATATGGAATAAAAGGAAACGAAAGGAAAGGAAGTAATTAATAGCCTGAAAGAAAATGCCCAGGTGATTCTGCAACCAAGGACCTGACTTTCAGCTCTTAATGCTTCTATTTAATGTGTGTTTGGTTTATTTTCAGAACAACTATATCAGCAACATGAAGTCTTCCACATTCCTGTTAAAAGTTTAAATTGGCACACACACTTTTAAATCACATCAGCATCATGGAGACTGGTTAAAGTACAGGCCCCACAGGGCCCAGCATTCCCCCCCACCCAACGACCCGCTCTGGGAAATTTCTCGCCTTGTGCCCCAGGAGACATGTACATTAATATGTGCAGCAAAAACTGGAATGACCACATATTCATCAATAGGAAAAGAGCAAAATTTCACTATAACCATCTGTAATAATAAAAGCAAAATATGGTAAGTAGGCCAGACGTCCTTCCGGACAACTTTCTGGATGAAGCCGGGGCTGTGTGGGCTGAGGCAGAGGCAGCCACCACGGCCACGGGGGGCCAAGCCCCTTGCACAAATTTCGTGCATCAGTCCTCTAGTAAAATATGACTTCAGCACTAAAAGTGTAAGGACAGCCTCACAGATGAGAGATGACCCTTATGTAATGCTGATCCTCAGAAGACTCCATGCAGTACAAGTTCACTCTACAGGAAATTTAAAGCAGGTAAACCTATAAGACATTCATTTGGGATATATATATATAGATTATAAAATCTTTAGAGAGTCTCAAGGGAGTATAAAATACAAGACTCAGAACAGAGATTCCATCTGGGGGACCGGACTGTTAGTGTCACTGCCAACAGGAGTCCCCAATGTGAGGTGGCTGAAGGACACTATATTCACTGCAATCAGCTGGATGGTAATACAGCTCGTCAGCGAGACCAGCACGGCTGTGGGACAGCTGGGTGTGATACAGCAGGGCTGTTACGCTCTCTGCCCGCAGCATCTCACCCAATTGCTGTCATGACGCTAAGGTGGGTGTGTAGACCAAGTATAAAATCCACATTTTTCTAACTAAAAATCGATTTCCTGACACACAGGTTTTTGAAGATGCTGAGTACGAAAACTGACATTTTAGCCAATATTTTTACATTCTTAATGAACTAAATTTGAAAATTCTGAGAAATAGCAAAGAATTATTTTAAAGGCATTATTGTTATGGAGCCCAGTCTTTAAACTGTGTGATCTAGCTACTATGTGTTCTCAATGTTGTTGCCACTTACTGTAGGGAACATTATTACTAAAGGCAACTCTAAGAAAAACTTACAAATATTGTTGTATCTCCTTGCTCTGTCTCAAACTTTTAATCATTACTTTCCAAAAGTGAAATTTAGAGCACTGAATAAAATAATCAGATAAAGGAAACATTGACTTACAGAATCCTGAGACAGCATGTAGTGTGAACTTTGGTTTTCACATGTGTGTGAATTCTGTGACACTCCCACTTCCGGAGGTTGAGCAATTCCCTTCTCCTGAGGGTGGGGCTGGACTTGCTCACTCACTTCTAACTGAGGAGTAAGGCTGATGTAATGTGTGTGACTCTCAGCCTAGGACGTTCACCTCACTCACCTTCCACGCTGGTTGCTCTCTCTCATCACTTGCTCTAGGACAAGAAGCTCTAGTCCAGCCGTGGGCAAACTACGCCCGCGGGCCGGATGCGTCCCATTCGGCTGTTCTATCCGGCCCGCCAAGCCGAAAGAGCGGAGGGTTCTCTTGCTCTCCCCTCCGCTCCTTCACCAGCAGCAGTGTTAACATGTATTAGTTCACACAAACACTCCATCCATGCTTTTGTTCCGGCCTTCCGGTCCAGTTTAAGAACCCATTGTGGCCCTAGAGTCAAAAAGTTTGCCCACCCCTGCTCTAGTCATTCACTGCCTTATGGCTGAGTCCCCATGGCTAGGAACTGAGGGCTCCTGGGACCATCCAGGCAGGAAATCAGGCCTCTGCCAGCAGCCCTAGGAGTGAGCCATGTGTCAGTGAGTCCTCCAGCCCAGCCAGCCTTCAGACCATGCAGCCCTGGCTGACAAGTGACTGCAACCTTGAGAGATGCCTGAGCCAGAAGCACTCAGGGCAACCCTCCCTGGATTCCTGACCCTGGGAAACTGGGAGATAACACACATTTGTTGTTTCTAGCTGCTGAGTTTAGAGTGATTTGTTAAGGTGAAAAACATGACTAATATAGTGTCCAAAGAGAGAATGAATGATTGCACTTAATTTTCATTTGTTCTAAATTAATTATAAGATACTAGAGGCCCAGTACATGAATTCGTGCACCTTAAAAGGAACTGTGAGCTGCAAGGCTGCAGTGATCACAGGGGCGGGCCTCGGCCTATCTTCTGATCCCCTCTCCTGACCCCTCCTGCCACAACCCCAGGTCCCCTGTCTGCCCGCAGCCTTGCTCCCACTCGCTGATGGCACAGGCCCTAGTCGCTCTGCACTGTCAGCAGGTGTGAGTGGGGCTGGCACCATCAGTGGGTGCCAGTGGCAGCTCCAGTTGAGGGTGCAAGCAGGGCCGGTGCTGGCAGCAGGTGCAAGCACTGGGTGGGACCACGGTGCATGGGAGCCAAGAATTTTTAGTAACCACCAAAGGCTTGCCCTGATGATTGTGACTGGCGCCCCGCCTTGGTCTGGCACCCCTGGTCATTTGCTCCAGCATCCCACCATGGTCGATGCCTGCCATGTTCCACACTCTGCCGCCTGCTGCCAATGCCTGCCATGTTCCACATGCACCCCCTGGTGGTCAGCGCACGTTATAGTGACCGGTTGTTCGGTTATTCTGCCATTTGGTCTATTTGCATATTAGCCTTTTATTATATACAAACATGTCATTTCCTTTTAAGATGTAAGACTTTCCATAGTTAGGGGGGAAAAGTAAAAGGAGGAGGAGGACTAAGAGGAGGAGAAGGAGGAGGAGGAGGAGGAGGAGAAGGAAGACAAAGAAGAGAGGGAGAGGAGGAGGAGGAAGAATAAGAAGAAAGAGGAGGATTAGAAGAATCTCCATGGCTAATAGGCAGGATGTCTATTATGTACCAGAAGCAGCTCCATGTGATGGGAGACAACTTTGACCCAAAGCCCTGCATTCCCATGTCTTACAGGCTAGAGGCTTCCCAGAGTGAGATGCAGCCACTGGGGCATTTTTAGAGATGAAACTACACAACCCAACTCACATAGCAGGACTGCTGACCCTGTGGGGAGAATAGATCCCGTGTGGCAGGTGAGGGGGTGACACTATTGCCCCAGTCAGGAGTGGTAGGGTGGTAGAGACAAAGGGATGAAGAGGCCTGAGGGGTGAGAGACAGAGAAGGGCTGGACAAGCAGGAGTGAGGAAAAGAAGTGGAGGTAGAGATTCTAAAGCAGTGGAACTCTCAGATTTAAATGTGATTTATAGATCTATAGTAACTATACCTACAGAGCTAGCAGGGTGTTCTTTGCATTTGGTACTTAATACATTCTGTGGGGCTGCCTAAAAACTAATTGTCACCTTATGTTAATCGGTTAAAAAGTAATGTGTCCCGATGAAATGTGCTCACTGCTTCCATGTGAGTAATTCATAAGGATGGGCAGGGCAGGAGCGCTGGTGAAGGGCGCTGTGACTCACTGAGCACTTGTGACTGAGAGGATGCACAGGCTCCTGCTGAAATGCAGTCACACATGCTCCCTGGGCTCCTGTAGGGAGGGGGTGGGGGCCTCACAGGGACAAACTCAGGGCTGGGGAATGCAGGTCACTTCACAATGTAACAGCCCCAGCCACACACTTCCTGTGTGGGAAGGAGAGTTGAGGAGCTTTGTAGCTCTGGCTGCCTTAGACACTTTGCATATGAAAACTCTGAAATCACTCATTTTACAGATTAGCTTCCTGATGTCCAGGCTTCCCAAGACTGTGGTCCCCCTGCCCTTCACTGGTCTTTTCAGGCCCAACCCCTCCAGGATTACAGAGGAGGCCCTGTCCCTCCGCCTCCTATCACAGGGGCCTCGCTCTCTGGCATCAAGGTCCCAGGGTGAGTTTTCCTCTAGAAGAGTCCAGGGCAGAGGTGAGGGTGGGAGGCAGAGTGCATTCCAGGGAGAGAGGTTCCAGGAGGAGAAGGGGAGGAAAGGGCTGGTCCCAGCCTGGGGAGTCTCCCTGGTTCTCACACAGCCCCTGGGCAGGACTGAGGGAGAGGGTGTGACAGAGCTCTCCGTGCAGGGGGAGGGGTCAGGGCAACGTCACAGGTCCCCGGCCTGGTCTCCCGAGGGCGGAGACTGAAGCGGGAAGCTCAATGTTGGGGAGTCCCCACCTCCCCGCAGTTTGACTCCTCCCTCTCGCAACCAGTGTGCGGGGCCCTCCTTCCTGGATACTCGTGACGCGACCCCAGTTCTCACTCCCATTGGGTGTCAGGTGATACAGAAGCCAATCAGCGTCACCTTTTTTCCCAGTTAGAAGTCTCTGCGGACTCACCAGGACTCAGACTCCCCAGACATGGAGGATGCTGCTCAAGGGGTCCCTCACCCTCCTCCTGCTGCTCTGGGGGTCCCTGACCCTGACCGAGACCTGGGCGGGTGAGTGCGGGGTCGAGAGGGAATGGCCTCTGGGGAGGAGGTGCGAGGGCACCCGGCGGGGGCGCAGGACCCCGGGAGAGGGCGTCTCCACCCCCACACCCCAGACCCCACCCCGTCCTGACCCCTCTCTTCTCCGTCCCGCTGCCCCTGTTCCGTCTCCCGGGTCCCTTCCCCTCTCCTGTCCCCCCTTCCCCGGACCCCGAACCGCGCCGGGAGGAGGGTGGCGGGTGTCAGCCCCTCCGCTCCCGCCCCCAGGCCCCCACTCCCTGAGATATTTCTCCACCGCCGTGTCCCGGCCCCGCCGCGGGGAGGCCCGGTACCTGGAGGTCGGCTACGTGGACGACATGCAGTTCGAGCGGTTCGACAGCGACTCGGAGAGTCAGAGGGCGGAGCCGCGGGCGCCGTGGATGGAGCAGGAGGAGCCGGGCTATTGGGACCTGAGCAGCCGGAACGCCAAGGTCTCCGCACAGACTTTCCGACTGAACTTGCAGACCCTGCGCGGCTACTACAACCAGAGCCAGGACGGTGAGCATCGGTGATCGGGGCCAGTCACCACCCCCATCCCCACGGACGGGCCGTGGTCTCCCCGACCATCCGAGTTCGAGCTTCACCCCCGCCTCCCCTCCCCCTCCCACCACATAGACACACCCGAAAGGAGCCCGCGGGGACTTGGACCCGGTTTTACCTAGAATTTCTGTTTAATCCCCGCGGGTGGGTCGGGGGCGCGGCTCAGTGGGCGACACTGACCTCCGGGCGGGTCAGGGTCTCACACGCTCCAGTGGACGTTTGGCTGTGACATGGGACCGGACGGCCGCCTCCTACGCGGTTATTACCAGTTCGCCTACGATGGCACCGACTACCTCGCCCTGAACGAGGACCTGCGCTCTTGGACCGCGGCCAATAGCGCAGCTCAGATCACCAGGCGCAAGTTGGAGGAGGCCCGTGAGGCTGAGCAATTAAGGAATGTCCTTCAGGGAGAGTGCATGGAGAGGCTGCGCAGATTCCTGGCTATGGGGAAGGAGGCGCGGCTGCTCGCAGGTACCCTGGGCCGGCGGGCCTCCCTCCTCTCCCCTGGGGCTGGGGCTCCACAAGGAGACAGGACACAGGGTCAGTGTCAGACACCCCTCCTGTGGGCCAGGAGATTGAGTCCGCCTGGCTTTTCAGATCCAGTGACGCCCTCCCTTCTCTCAGGGACACCTAGGGGTGCAGTCTCTCAGGGACAATTAGAGGGGAGACCAACCCTGAAGGAACTGAGCAGCGGTTCCCATTGGCCCTGCAGTGGCTCTGGGACCCATGGGGCACCTGCTCTCTCAGGCCCTGCTCCCTACCCCTCCCCCAGTGTATCTGAGGCCTGACACCCACTTTTCTGAGTCCTTTGGCCTCCACCCAGGACAAGACCAGAAATCCCTTTCTCCCCCTGAGACCTGCCTCCTGCCCTGGGCTGTGTCACTCTGACTAGAACTTTCTAAAGAGGAGAGGCCATCCCCAGGTGCTCTGTCCAGGCTGGTGGTGCTTGTGTGCTCCCTCGCCCTCCCCAGGTGCCCTGTCCACGCTCAGGTGGTCACATGAGGGCGGATGGAGGGTCCCCTGACAGTGCCAAGTTCCTGAATTTCCTCCCCCTTCTCCTCAGACCCTCCAAAGACACACGTGACCCACCACCCCATCTCTGACCGTGAGGTCACCCTGAGGTGCTGGGCCCTGGGCTTCTACCCTGCGGACATCAGCCTGAGCTGGCGGCGTGATGGGGAGGAGCAGACCCAGGACATGGAGCTGGTGGAGACCAGGCCTGCGGGGGATGGGACCTTCCAGAAGTGGGCGGCCCTGGTGGTGCCCCGTGGAGAGGAGCAGAGATACACGTGCCATGTGCAGCACGAGGGGCTGCCCGAGCCCCTGACCCTGAGATGGGGTGAGGAGGGGCGTGGGCACAGAGCCTGGTCTCAGGGAAGCAGGGGCCTGTGGAGGACTTCAGTGGGGTCGGGGCTGAGGCCTGGGGGTCAGGGCCCTCACCTCCCCTTCCCTTCCAGAGCCGCCTCCTCGGGCCACCATCCCCCCTGTGGGCCTGGTTGTGGGCCTGGTCATCCTTGGAGCTGTGGTCACTGGAGCTGTGGCTGGAGCTGTGATGTGGAGGAGGAAGCGCTCAGGTAGGGAAGGGGTGGGGCCTGCGTTTTTTGTCTCACTGGGGGTTGCAAGCTCAGGTAGAAGTGTGTTCTGCTTCATTAATGGCAAATACCATCCCCACACGTGTGGTTGCCCAGTGTGGGGCCCTATTTGCTGACACTCACTCTTTAGTAAGACACGTGTGGAAATGAGGGACAGATTCATCACCTGGTGATTCTAGAGATGGGGCCTGGTTCCCAGCACTCCCAGGTCAGGGTGGAAGGTCCCTGCTGAGGACAGACTTCCAGAGGGTGGTTGGTTACTCCCCACACATGCGTACTTACCTCAGGTTTCCTGATCCTGCCCTGGGTCTGTAGTCACAGTTCTGGAAACTTCTCTGGGATCCAAGACTAGGAATTCCTTTAGGACCTCATGGCCCTGGGTCCTCACAGGATGTTTTCTTCCCACAGGTGGAAAAGGAGGGAGCTATGCCCAGGCTGCCAGTGAGTATGGAGGGTGACCTCTGAGATCCTATGATAGTACAGACTGGATCCTATGGGGAACGTCACCCCCATAGTTCCTCCCTTAGTCTCTTCTCCTGGGGGCTCTGACTCCATCTTGTTTTGTTCTACCCCAGGCAGCAATGGTGTCCAGGGTTCTGATGTATCTCTCACAGCTTCTGAAGGTGAGACTCTGATGATAGCAGGGGTTGGGCGAAAGGGAGAGGACTGGGTGATGGGGATTCTTTGGGAGATAGTGAGCCTGCGGTGGCCTATTGAGAAGGTCACTACTTAAAGCCACTGAACTAAATTTGTTCATGATCATTTTCTTCCACAGTGTGAGGCACTTGTCAGGAACTGAATGATGGGAGATTTGTTTACGCTCCCACTTTGTGAATCAAGAATCTCTGAGGTTCCCCCTTCCTTTCGTTCCCGGTGGCGGCTGCAGTGCTGAGCCAGGGGCGCCCAAACTCCTGGCTCCTCTCCGCGCCTCCACTCTGCTCCATGCCCCTGGCTCCCCATGCTGTGCTGCCAGGATGGAACAGGCCATCTCCTTCGCCAAGGACTTCCTAGTCGAAGGTGTCCCAGCCGCCATCTCCATGACGGCCGTGGCCCCGATGGAGTGGGTCAAGCTGCTGTAGCAGGTGCAACATGCCAGCCAGCAGATCACGGCCGACAAACAGTACAAGGGCATCATGGGCTGCATCCTGTGCATCCCCAAGGAGCAGGGCATGCTGTCCTGGCAGAGCAACATGGCCAACGTCATCTGTTACTTCCTCACCCAAGCCCTCTACTTCACCTTCAAGGATAAGTATAAGCAGGTCTTCCTGGGGGGGCGAGGCCAAGCACACCCAGTTCTGGAGGCACTTCACAGGCAACCTGGCCTGGGGCAGGGCCGCGGGCGCCACCTCCCTCTGCTTCACCCCTGGATTTCGCCTGGACTGGCTGGCAGCCGACGAGGGGAAATAGGGCGGCGACGAGCACCAGTTCAAGGGCCTGGGACCCTGCCTGGTGCAGATCACCAGGTCAGACGGCATGGGGGCATGTACCAGGGTTTCAACGTCTCCGTGCAAGGCATCATCATCTACCCGGCAGCCTACTTCGGGGTGTAGGACACGGCCAAAGGCATGCTCCTCGACCCCAAGAACACCCACATCTTCACCAGCTGGATGATCGCCCAGTCGGTGACGGCCCTGGCGGGCCTGGTGTCCTACTCCTTTGACACCGTGCGGCGACGGATGATGATGCAGTCCAGGCGCAAAGGAGCCGACATCATGTACACGGGCACCATCGACTGCTGGCTGAAGATCTTCAAGGACAAGGGCGGCAAGGCCTTCTTCAAGGGAGCCTGGTCCAACCTCTGAGGGGCATGGGCGGGGCCTTCGTGCTGGTCTTGTACGATGGGCTGAAGAAGGTCATCTAGGCGCCCCGCCTGCCCGGACACGGGACCCCAGGGCCGCGGAGGCCCCTCACGGTTACGGACCATTGAACTTCCAGAAATTCCAACGTCCTCGCAGGCCAGATCATGGTAGCGCAGGGCGGTGCTCTATGACGAAACCCTTCTGATCATGACCACTGACACTCCATTCAAAGCCTCGATGGGGGGGAGGGCACCCCCACGCCCTGTCGGGGTCCCAGGCAGGGCTGCCCCTCCCCGCCTTGGGGGCCATCGTGTGTAGCTTTTATTTAAAGGAAATCGTGACACCATCCGTGCTTTGCACTGTCCTCTGCACAGCAAAGTATCCGCAAATCCCTTCTCTGTCGAGCATTCTGCAAACAATTAAACCCAGATACGGAGGGAGAAAAAAAAAAGAACCTCTGATTTCTTTCTGCAAAGGGCATCTGAATGTGTGTGTTCCTATCAGCATAATGTGAGGAGGTGGGAGGCTGTCCCACCCCTGCCTACCACACCCCTTCCCCAGCCTTTCCTGTCCAGTAGAGGTGGGGCAAGGCCCTCCCCATTCATTTTTACTTCCTGGTGCTCTCAGCTGCGGCTTCTTACTGCCTGATTGAAATTAGAGTCTGGATATGCATTCTTCTCCACTTCTTGCCATGAAAGGGTGATGGGTTCCATAAAGGAGAAAAGCCCGGCTGGTGTGCCTCAGTGGTTGAGTGTCCACCCAGGAACCAAGAGGTCATGGTTGGATTCCCTTTCAGGGCATATGCCCAGATTTCAGCTCAGTTCCCACCAGGGTCATGCAAGTGACAGCCAATAGATGATTCTCTCTCATCATTGATGTTTCAATCTGCCTCTCCCTCCTCTTTCCTCTCTCGGAAAATCAATAAAAACATATTTTTAAAAAGAATTAAAGGAGAAGATCCTAAAATTTGAGAGGAAATAAATGAAAGCACTGAGAACTTTTCAGATCCTGTGTGTTTGCTGTGCTGAGGCTATTGCAGGGGGGACAGGAGAGGCTGTGAGGACCGAGTGTGGTCAGGGCTGTGCCCAGTTGGTTCCCTGGTCTCTTCAGCTGGGTCACCTCTCTGTTCCTTTGTCCTTCTCCCTTCAGTAGAACCTTGTCCCCCCAGGACTTTCCATCACAGGGACTCAAACCTCTCCAGGCCTTGTAAATTGTCCTAATGAGGAACATCTCCAAACCCGTGGGCAGCAAGGCCTTCCTGTGTCCGTGTCAGCCTAGGCTCAGACCTGGGTCCTGCCCTCAGCCCTCATCTTCTGGGACTGTATTTGTTGTTTCTTTGTGGAGAGGATTGTGCCTGTTTGTGTTCTTGTTATAAGTTTTGGTCTCATCCTTCTTTTGAGTGTCCCCTATCCAACATCAGCCAGATGTGACTTGTCTGTCATTGTGCCCACAAGGCTCAGGGCTCCCTGCACACAAGAGTCCGTGGTATGGAGAGATGAATTTTCAGTCTCATGCTGCTCTTGGCTCCCTTTAGGAATTGATTGTTCTTTCCATCTTTTCCTAAACTCTCCAAGGAACCAGGTCCTGGAATTAGCAGGGAGGAGGGGTCCTGTAACTGGTCATCTTAGATAAGTTCCTGTTGGAATTCTGCTCTGCTCGCCCACCCTCTCTCCCTGCCCTTCCATCTAATGCTGGCTGCAGTGGGAACCCTGGGATTTCTGAAGCAGAGTCTCCTGTAGATTCAGGGAGAGCCGCTCTGCTGGGAGCCGTTCCATCCTTGCTGCTTGACACAGTCGCTGCAGGGAAGAAACATCTGCACAGCATATGTTTCAAGGGACCTGGCGTATATGGCATACTGTTCTTAATATGTTTGCTCATCTTCTTGGCGCTATGTGTTTTAACCAAGGTCACCTCTCCAAGAAAGGTTGTTTCCCCAGGTAGGAATTTTCCCCTGAAGTTAGGGAGGGAATAAAACCCCTTAACTAAGTGCCAGGTGGGTAGTTAATCACTTTAACTATGAACAATCACGATTAAGCTACATAATCTTTACTCCCTGGAATGGAGATAAGAAACGCCCTAATCTTTGGAATAGAGATTGATAGGATTGGAATCAACTGGTATAAATACAGATGTAACAAGACAACAAGACAGAGAACCTACACACAGAACCTCGACTCAGAACCTAGAACACAGAACCTAGAGACAGAACCTAGAGACAGAACATGGCAAAAGATCCTGGACAGAAACTGGCAACAGAACCTAGAGACAGAACCTAGCGAGAGAACCTGGCTGAAGATCCTAGAGACAGAACCTGGCTACAAAACCTGGATAGAACATGGCAATAGAACCTGGTGACTGAACCTGGCTGGAGAACCTAGCAAGAGAACATGGACACAGAACCTGGCTGGATCCTAACCAGAACTTCACTGGAGATCCTGACCAGAACTTGGCTAGAGATCCTGGCTAGGCTGCTGATCAACTGAACGCTGTCTCTGTGTCATTCCTTCTTCGCCTACTCTGTCCACACCTTTGGGGACCCCTGGACCTGCTGGGGTTGGACCCCAGCACTGTTCTGTGGGAAGAGCAGCTTCCCTGATGTCAATGTGAGAGCTCGCTGTGCTGTAGCTGCCACAGGACAGCTGTGGTCTGAGACCACATTAATGAAGATGTGTTTCTAGCATAGGGAGGTGCTCTACACTGACCATTCATGAACCAATATTAGTTGTGTGCCAGATGTGTGACAGTGTTTCCGCATGTGGGGTCCATTGAAGGACAATCAGAGAAGCTGCTTTCCTGTGGGACATACGTTGTGTGGGAAGACACAGAGTGAATGAAAAAGCACAGGAAACAAGGAAGGCGTCTGTGTGACAAGGGGTAACTGTTCTGAAATAACATCGTGGGGAAGGCAATCCCACTCAAGGCTGTGGGGGACACAACATGGGTGTTTTCTTCATTTATTTGTGTGTTTTTAATATATATATACACACATCCTGTCTAATAAAAGAGAAACATGGTAATTAGCGTACGACCGCTTCCCTTCCCATTGGCTAATCAGGGCGATATGCAAATTAGCTGCCAGCCAAGATGGCGGTTAACCGCCAACAAAGATGGTGGTTAATTTGCATACATAGCCACAAAGCTGGGAGGTGAAAGGGATTGGAAACCCAGGCAGCAGGCAAGAGGTAGGGGGCGGGCAAAGGCGGTGGTGATCCCTGATTGCATTGTGGATTGGGGGCAGAGAGAGCCCCGGCGCAGGCCAGCTGGCACTCCGGACCCCCAGGGAGGGTTGCGGGCTGGCTTGCTACCCGATGATCGCCATGGCGATGGGGGCAGAGAGAACTGTGGCGCAGGCCAGCCGGCACCCCCGGATCCCCCAGGGCCATGGGTGCTGGCTGGCCTGCTACCCCATGATCGCCATGGCAGTCGGGGGCAGAGAGAACTGTGGCGCAGGCCAGCCGGCACCCCCGGATCCCCCAGGGCCATGGGTGCTGGCTGGCCTGTTGCCCCGTGATCGCCATGGCGACTGGAGGGAGAGAGAGCCAGGGGCAGGCCAGGCGGCACCGCCAGAACCCTGGGGGCCAGGGGTGCCGGCTGGCCTGCACCCGGTGATCGCATGGCAATCGGAAGGAGAGAGAGCTGCATTGCCATAGGAGAGCCTGGGCACAGGCAAGGTGGCACCCCAGGCCTGTGTGCCGCCTTGCCTGCGCCCTGTGATTGCGATCAGCACTGAGGCTGCTTCCCCTCCCTTGGACTGGCTCCCTTAGTAGTCCTGCAGGTTGAATCTGAAGAGGACAGGCCAGGCACCAAGGGACCAGCGCTGCCAGCACTTGAATGTGAGCAGACAGAAGGAAAAAGACCTTGAAGACCTGTCCAAGGCGAGTTTGTGTTTAAAACCAAGTGGAGTGGTCCGGAGCTGCAAGCACTGACAACCATAGCACTGGGGCTGCTTCCCCGCCCTAGACACTCCACAAGGTCACTTGAGTCCGCCCTGCTCCAGATGAAGTGTGATCCCTGCACACGGAAACAATGTAGTAAAAAAATAAAAACCGATGACCAAGGGCCCACCTCCATGAGCTCACGGGAGCCTCTGAGCAGTGGACACCCCGACTATTTTAGGGGCTTCAGGTGAGCAGGGGACACAGAAGGGTCAGGAAACCTCCCTGGAGGTGCGGCACCTCCCTGGAGGTCCGGCGGTAGGTCTGATGGAGGATCAATCCGCCCTGCTGTCTGACAACAGCTGCCTCCTCCGTGGAGAATGGGAGAACAAAGGAAGGGGAAGATTCTGCAAACCCCAGAGGGAATCCAGGGTCCCAGGTACTCTGCCCCACCCGCTGACACTAGCTATGAGGGCACTGCAGCAGCCAACCAGCCTCATCCTCCTCCCCCCACCCCACAACACACACACCTACTGGTCGCAGATGCAGGGAGCGCCCTTTTTGGGGGAGACGCCCACCAGGTATGCAGAAGGTATACAGAAGGCGCTCAGGGAGAAGTCCCCACAGGTTGTGTTCGCACCTTCATGCTGTCTCTCCCCCCCCCCCACCCCCCCCCACCCCCACTGCAATGCTGAAGGAAGCCTGATTCAGGAACACCCCCCTGTTGACCACCCACACGGAAAACAGCGTGTGATAAACATGTCCCCCCAGACGCCTGAATCCGACTCAAAAGGAAGACCCTACAGACCCGGAGCAGGAAGATGGGGACTGAGACAGAAGGTCTGGGAAAAGCAGGGCTGCCCCACCTGGTTTCCGTCCCCCTCCCTGTGTGAAGCGCCTGCACCGCCGCCCTTGGACGGAGGCCTGCGAAGGAGTGAAGAACTGTGGCTATGCCTGTGGCTGCGCTTGGCCAGCAGTCGTGGATAAGCAGGAAACACATTTACGTGCCAGAATCTAAAACCATCTTTTTGGGTAACAGAGCAAATAATGCAAGACCCACACGTTGTTTCTAAACAGGAGTCTGTCTCGCTGCGTGTGAACCCAGATCGAAGGCCTGCTCTCCACCGAGGAGGCTGCAAAGGCTGCTCCTCTCTCCAACAAAGGCAACCTAGAGGTTTAAAGGAAAAGGA